AAGGCCACCGATCAGTTATTTTGCTTGTGTCTCATCTTGTCTGGTCAGATTTGTTTATCTTTTGGTACCAGGAATCAAACTCAGGTCCTTGCGTGTGCCAGCCAGGTGCTAAGCCCTGAGCTATATTCCTGGTCCTAAATTTGTTTAAGAATTTGAAGCTGTGGTGTCGCGAGAAGGAACTTGGGTCATCCTGGAGGGAACGTCAGTGACGAAGCCCTTCGTTTCCTCACAGCCTCTCCTCAGAGCCTTTCTCCCTGTGGGAGCAGATCCTGTCTCTCCTGGGACAAGCATCCCTGTGGGCTGAGTGCCGTGCCGCCGCCATCCCAGCTCCTTGCCTCTTCACTGTGAGGCTGTGAACGCCAGGCGCAAAGTACATTTGTGCATTCCCTGCTGTGACCAGGAGCCTGGGACAGTGGCACGGAGGGAAGCTCAGTCAGAGCAGTGGTGGGAAAGAAAACAGAGAGGGACAGGGCAGCGAGGGAGGGCAAACATCTGGGGCTTTCAGAAACAAGAGGACCAGGAGGGACAGGCTGGCTTTGCTGGCCTCCAACTGCCTTAGAGGGGCTAGCGGCTGGGCATGGTGGCGCTTGCGTGTACTCTGGGCACTCCAAGAGGCTCACAGAGCAGGAGCATGGGTCTGAGCCCAGCTGGGACCACTTAGTAATTCAGTGAGCTTGCCCCAAAGTAAAAGGAAACAAGGATATAGCACAGTACAAAGGCTCTGGGGTCAATATCCCTAGTACAACAACAACAACAACAACAACAACAACAACAACAAACCAAGTCACCTGAGCTATGTGTCCACCTCAGGACTCAGAGGTCTCTCTGGTCTTGCCCCTGTTTGAAGGAAAGCTGGACATCCTGTAAATGGGAATGAAGATGTTCCTCGTCTTTGCTGTCTCTCAGAGCTGCTCCTCCATGTGGGGTGGGGAGGCATTTTCCCATTTTCCCACTGAGGCCATCCTAGAGCCCAGCTGGCTCCTGTCCCTCGCAGCAGGCTGCTGTAAGTCCTGGGGTACCACTGGCTAAAAGCTCCCCTGGGGACAGTTCCCAAATCGTGTCTCACCAGCACAGCAGTACTGGCCCCTGCTCCGGGACGACTCTAATGCATGCTTCTGATGTCACTTCCCAGAGCTGGCTGGACAGTGTCTAGCTCCCCTAGCTGGCTGAATAGCGACCCCCACAGCAGCCGGCTTCCCCTGCCCCTGCCGCAAGCCTCACAGACTCCAGCCACCGTCCCTGTGCTCATGATGTCTTGGCATGTGCTGGGAATTCACGAAACTCCAGACTCCCACAGGGACCTGGCTAGTCACGGAGCAGCCGGAGCCTGAGTCCCATGAATCAATGCCTTGTGACTCCATAAAAGGAGCAGCTCGTGATGTGCAAAGTGCCAAGACCATTATTTTCTGTCACTCTGCCTTCACTGAGGAGTGATTCTCCAAACAATACCCTGGAGTTGAGTGCTGAGCAGCCGGGGATGGCGTCCCGTCTGCACACACAGATAAATAAGGGTGACCTTCCTCCATGATGGATTGGTGCTGATGGCATTCAGGTCCAGGAGGATATGAAGGTGACGCTTGCTTTGGTGGGAGATGGATTCTCCTTCACGCTAACTGTGTGTCCCTTTGCTTTACCTTAGCTGAAGGGTACTCCGCCAGAGTGATGAAAGTAATTGCTGTGTTAACACCACACTGGCATCTCTTCGACATTTGTTACGTCCTAAGTACTGGGTAAAGCACACTATGTCACTGAGGCTCTCGCAGAGCCTCTCTGGTGGGAGCTACGACATCCCACCCCACGTGGCACTTGGTCCCAGTGCCACAGGCAGGGGCCAAGTGGACAATCAAAATGCCGGCTCCTTGGGCAACCATTATTCCAAGTTTCACAACAGCGAGGACATACAGGAACACAAGCAGGGGTCTCCTCTGAGCATGGGGGTTTCTGAGGCTATGTGGTCTCACCCCATCCAGCTGGTCCTGGTTACATGGGCTATAAGAAGTGGCATGGGTGATGACAAGGACCCCCATGCCCAACAGACTGAGCAAGCTTTATGCTGGAGGGTTCATTGAGAGCCCGGCTGTTGGTCAGGAGAGCAGCTCACTGAGGGTCAGGAGCGAAGTCACCTCAGCTGAGAGAACTGCACAAACACTGTCCTAGCTGCGCCTGCGGAGAGACCGTGATGCGCATGGTGGGTGGAAGGGCCCCGGGGGCCGGGCGGCTCTGGGGGACGGTCTCAGGTGTGCACTGGTCCGGCACAGCAGGGGTCTGCAAAGCGCAGATCTGGACTTGTCTGAGCAGGTGCCTGTGCAGATCCAGCCAGAACCTGAGCACAGAAAGGAGGCAGACGTGGCAGCACCCCATCGGCAAAGCGAGCCGTCATCCTCCACGTTTCCCACACCCACCTTTTGGAAGATGGGGCCACTGCCCACACGATGTGTGAGCCAGAGCCTGTGCCTTGAAGGCAGACCCATGGACGCTGATTCTGTCCCCCCACCAGCTGAGTGGCTTGGGCCTGTTTCCAAACACTGCGTGTGAGCTTTCTCAGGGATAAGAAGGGGCTAGTGGTGATTGCCTCTTGGGGTAAGAGACAGTGCAGAGGATGTGTACAAAACCCTTGGCATGTGTTTAGCTCTTATGCTGGGATGGCCTGATTTTCACCATGCAGTGCAGGGGCAGATAGAAGAGCTCAGGAGCAAAGGTAGGTGACCCAGGCTGAGCCCAACACTGCCCTAAGCTCCTGTGAACAGGGAAGTCCTCCAATTCTTTCTGAGGTCAGCACGCCACTCTATAAAATGGATGCTGTGCAGTATCCACAACACGTAGGATTCAAAGAACCCCGAGCGAGCTGGGCATCACAGGAATCGAGAGGTGTGATTTCTATATCCAGCCGGGGCCTTCTTGGTATAACTTGAAAATGGTTTGCCGGAGAGGGAGCAGGGCAGGGGGTAATGCCACCTTGCCCCGATTTCTACTGTCTTCACAGATGCTGCCCGGGCTGCCCTCCCTGTAGCTCTCTTACAAGGTGCTAAGCAACCTAGTGTTTTTCTTTTAAGAACTCTGTTTTGCAAAATTTCTATGTTCGTAACCTCTGGTCTAACTGATACCATTCCCATGCCTGCTGTAGAGTTAAACCCAGAAGATGCTGAAAGGGAAAATGATGAATCAGTCCAAACACTATGTTTCCAGAGGCAGCTGTCCCACACCGGCCTCTGAGATATTACGTACATTTATGGGGTAATACCGATCATGAACAGAAGCCTGCGGTGCTTTATGTTTCTGGAGGTGCAGCCACCCCTAACTGAATAGCTTTGTGCTTTAAGAAATTTAATGTGCATACAGGATTCTATTTTTCTTGGAAAATATGACATCTTTACAAAGAACTAAACTTGAAGAAAGGATGTGGAGGAAAGCAGGTGGAGGAAAGGATGTGGGTGCCGTCTCATCTCATTCGCACATAAGTGACCAAGGCACGGGCACGCAACTGGGCCCCAAATGAAACCACGTACATTTCCATTTAGAACACTTTCTCCACCGTCCACCTCGCAGTCCCTGGCGTACAGGCCCTGGGAGTCACAGACGGAAACCAGGAATCTCCCCACTCTGCTCAAACTCCGGCCTCTTTGAAGTGCTTTCTGCAAGTCTCCCAACTTGTTCTGCACATCAGCTTGAGTAGAGTTCTGTAGACATCAAACTCAGACTCCAAGGTCTTTCTTGCCAGAACTGCCCTCTCCTCTGAGCATCCCACTGGCTGCTCCGCTCCGAGGTGGCCCAACCTGCCCTCTCACCTTCCACAGGCCTGTCTGCACTGCTCCAGTCTCCTCAAAGCACGACCCCCCTGCACCACACAGCAAATTCACCTTCATTTGTACAGAGTACAGTCAAAGCTGCGAAGGCAGAGGGGCGCTCCTGCCCTTGGGGGTTTTGATGGTGTGTGCGGAGGCCCAGCTCCTTGGAGCTGAGGGAGGTTTTAGGCATCTTGCATATGATTATTCCACCAGGCATCTGGGGAGGTTGCCATGACAACGCTCCTAGAGCCTTCTGTATGTAGAAGCCACTGATATATCTCATCAACTCAGCCAAGGGAGGGGGAAGAGTCAGAGCAGCCCTCAAACTTCTTGCTCTATTCTGGCCACTGAAGGACTATTTTACGTATTGTTTGGACATAATATTAGACTCAGAAACACTGATTCTTTTAATAACGGCGCTTTTCCACTCAAAAGTACCTGACTGCTTAAAAATGTCAGTCCAGTCTACCAGGGGTTTCCCCCCTTTGTTCCTCACATTCTCTGGCATTGTACTCAGGACTCCCTTCTGCTGGCCATGAAATGCTTTAATTATTATGTTCCCAGTCTAAAAAGGAAACTCGAAATTCTAAAACCTTCTCTGATAGATGGGTTAGACCCAAGGAAAAGACAGCAGTGAGCTCCACAGCACCCTTGAGTGATGTCCGTAGCAGCAGGCACGTGCGTTTCCAGAGGCACAACATCCTGCCTTTGGCCCTCTGACGGACGACAAAGGGTTTCCCTGTGCACAGCTTCTAAGGAAAGGGGAAAAAGTCCTGCTTGTTTCACCAAATTGTTCTTATTAAAAGGCAATCATAGAAAGAAATAAAAGGAACACATGGTCTAGACTTTAGTTCTCCTCAAAGCTCCACTGCAGCATAAGGCTCAGCTAGATAAAGCGATATCCCCAGAGCCCATCTGGTGAGCGAGATGTTTACGCCATGCCCCACATCAGCTCTGCATCAGAGACTCGGACTGCAGCCACCTTGGCCAATCGCCCTCAGAGACAAAGGAAGATAATTTTACAACTTGCGACACCCCAATTGCCACCTGCTTTATCTATCCAGCTCTTGCTTCCATCCAGGTAAGTGACATGTTAATACGGATCCAAGCCCCAAAGTCAGGACAGCACCAAGACAGCATCTCACATCACTGAAGGTCACAGCACCTTCAGGACGCTACAAGCCTTCAGAACAACGGCAAACCAGCTTGACATACCTGTGGGGGACCCTTCCATGACGTGGCCCACATAGGGGCCTTCCCGGAAGATGGGCCTGTTGTCATTCTGGTCAATCACGATGACGTCCAGAGGCACTGGCCCCTCCAGAGTTCTGCCACTGACATCAGTGGTCTCCACAGACAGCTATAGGAGCAAAGAGATTGCGGGAGAAAAAAAAAAGGCATCAGTTCAATTATGAAAATGGAAATCAGGTTCCCTAGAGAAAGTGGGTTGTATCAGCAATTTTCTAAGCTCTGGGCGAAATTCAAACTTTGATCTCAATGGAGAGTTGCTGGGACTAGAATAGAAGCTAAATATTCCAGAATAAAAAGTGAAGATCAAGCTCATGCTAGATTCTCCCTTGGGAAATTTACAATTAATACATCAAATTTGCAAAGAGAGTTAAAAAGAACCTCGCAATCAGCCATAGCCGAGTAAATGTGCTTACACTGTTTCTGTTTTTCCAACATCATTATCCTTTAAAAGAATGTTATGCTAATAAAAATAATCATCTAAGCAGCTACGAAGTGAGCACATTAAGAGATAACAGAATGTGTTTATGGTGATGTTTAGGAGAAATCCAGGTCAGTAAGTCTTTGCAGGGGGCCTGAGCAGACCTTGCTTTCCTGCCCATTAGGCCTTTTATGAATGAGAGGAGCTCTCAACTCTAGGAAGCTCTTCTGTGGGGAACTGCTTCCAGATCTCACTGAAGAAGGGGGAATAAAAATCAGCTTTATTGTTTGTCTTAGAATCAAAGCAACGTGGCCTGGCATTTGCAGTGAATCGTGGGGCCCCCATGTCCTCTTCCACTGTGCTCCATTCACTCTTGACATTGGTAGGTAGTAGCAGCAGCACTTCTCAGGGCAAAGGGCTGGACCCTACAAAGGGCATGGCAGAAGGCTCGGGCCAGTGAGGGCACCCTAGGACCGCAGGGTGGTCCTAGGGAAAGGGCTGCGCACTCCAGATCCCAGCGCCAGGTCACGACCTCCGGGACCCTACGGGAGAGAATTGCTCAACTTCCTCCTCTGCAAACTGGGGTTAATAGAACACCATTCATTAGGGGTAATAATAACCAACAATAGACCAGTGCTTTCTTAGGTAACCTGCTACAGTCTCTCACTCGAATGTCGCATCTCTATGGCCATTTTTCAGGAAAGGGAAAGGAAGAAAATAAAGGTAAATTTGTGGAGCTCAGACGTGACCTTGGGAAGTCTACTTTCAGAGTTCCTGTCCTTAAACACTGTGAAGAATATTTCTAAGACACTAATTCCATTTCAAGTTGCTGTTGGCATTGCTTTTATTCACATCAATACTAATGTCAACATTAGCTGGGGTTAGAAAAACGGAAGAGGAATGCTTGCTACAGCTCAGTATAGCTGCCTCACCTGCCGCTATACTGTAGTGCTTTCGGAAAGAAGCGTGTCAGAATCCAAGGAAACCCCGGAGATTCGTGTGTGATTTGCACCGCCTTGCCCTACCCGCTCCTTTTCTGAGCTCAGTTGCTCTGCACAGATGACGAGATTTGCTGTACTGCTGTTATTACCAAGGAAATCACACGGGCACATAAATGCCCAGTGGAGGGCGATGAGTCCATCCAATTCATGTTTGTGCAATAATGTTTTATTTTTATTTTTATTATCTTTTATTGTACCTTTCAGATTTTATTTACTCTTTCAGGTTCTTACACCTGTGAGACAATAGGATGTTTGCCCATGCGGGTCTGATTTACTCCACTTATGAGTATGGTCTCCAGTTGCATCCATTTATCTATAAAAGCCTTGAATTTATCTTTTATATAGCTGAGTAATAGACTATGGAAGTGGATGCCACTTGAAGATATACTCATGGGTTAGGGTTAGGTAAAGTAATTGTTAAAACTTGTTGGTGTATTCAGAATAATTGCTAAAAGACACAAAGTAGTATGCACATTATGTGCATGTAGTATAAGGCTATGGACCCAATTTGAGGGTAGCAAGCAAGGTGAAAGGAGGTGTGTAGTCTTTTTTTCTTTTGTATTACTTCATGCTTTCTTAGCAAACACACACACACACACACACACACACACACACACACACACAGAGGTCCCGGACTTCCAGGGCAGTAAAATGATGGGAGGGCATCTCCTTTAACTGAGGGAAAAAAAAGGGCAGAGTCTCCTAACATCTGACCCCAATGAAGAACTTACACAAGGAAGACTTTTCTGTTTTTATGGCTTTAAGCCATTAGAAGGATACTGCTAACAGATCACCCAAGCTTTGTGGGAAATTTCATCCAGTAACACCAAGTCTGATTTTTGTTTTCTCAAAACAGCCATGGATCTGACTTCCTTGTGATCAAAACAAGCCTATGTCTACAGAAAACGGGCACCTTGCATCTGAAACCTAAGCCCACACATTCTTGAAGATGTTGCCAGAATCATTCACTGCAGGAGGATAAAAATTCAGAATTCATCTTTGGCAAATGTACAAATATACTGAAATGGGGAGGGGTAAGCTGCAGACCCACCTCCATAGGACACAGACAGCAAGGTGACCAAGCTGGAAAGGAAGGAGGCAGCACGTGGAGCAGAACCCCAGAACCCCAATCAGGAGGTAGACAACCTGATGGCATTTTATGTTAAAAGAAATGAGCCAGAGTTTGACTCTCAGATTATTTTTAACAAACAATATAAACAGAAAGCAAGAATTTGGAGCAGTCCCTAGAAGTAGCGAAGTACTGCTAAGTGGTGTTTCTTTATTTGAGAGATAATTTAACAAAAATCCTCTGTGGGCCTAACACTCCACGTCAGGCAATACAGAAAGAAGAACAAGAAAAGATTCTGCAGTGTGGACAGACGGGGGAAAATGCCACAGCAAGAGTTTCAGTTAGAGATGAGGGCCACGAGGGCATGAAGCTGTTCAGTTAGAGATGAGGGCCACGAGGGCATGAAGCTGTTGTATTTCCTAAAGTTCTACCACACGCTTCTGTGACACAAATGCCCCCACCCCACCAGTACACTTCAGTGCTTTAGGTGCCCAACTAGTAGCTCCTGTTCTTGCTTCTGTCTCCTAGAAGTGGCAGGTCTCTGTGATGCACAGCTGGTCACTGTGGTACACTCTGCAAGAACCACTCCCCACCTGACAAGCCACTCTACCCCTGTACCTCCTGCTTGCTTATCTCACAGAAGTCCTAGACCACCAGAGACCAGGGCCTGATACTCTGGGAGTGATTTCAATCAGTGCTCATCATTGTAAACAAATCTGCCTCCAAACCCTGGGTGACGCTTTGGTGTCTCTGCTCACCATTGTAGTACTACAGTCACTAGACAGCTATACATGATTACTGAAATTTAATCCCATCAGAATTTTAAAAACTCACTCTACTGTCAAAGTGGGCCTATTTTGAGTGTGGCTGGCAGGTGCCACCAGAGATGGCATGGGTGGGTACATTCCCATCACTGCCAAGGTCCCGCCCAGGGGCCCAGGGTGCTTAGCAAGTGTGAGGATGGGGCATAAACCTGAGATAAGATGATTAAGAAAACCTTGTTGCCCAGGGATGATTTCAGCTGAGATGTGAACAAGAAAACAGGGGTAGTGATCCAAAAATGAATGCAGGGGGCC